AGTTGGGTTCTGAGGAGGAAAAATCTCTCCAAAACCTGGAGGCTCTGTGCCAATCCAAGGATACCAAACGACGATAGTTCGGAAGACGCACAAATTGTTGTCATTATAAACTCATAGACATATGACATATGTGCAAATCAAAGAACTACACCGGGGTGAAAGTTGTTGGCGCAACTCAGGGGGTAGCCACCATAGCCATAGATGGCTCAACACCACATGTCAATTGAATCATCTTTGAGCTAGGAAGCACAAAAAACTGTAGCAAAAAAATCATTAAACATCACGAAAACTAGGGCTGTAAAATCTATAGATGGCGCATCCCAAAGCTCCTTTCCCTTTCCGTTCCTTGTCCTTTCCCTTTCCTTTTTCTTTCCTGGATTTGTCCCTTCCCTCTCCTCCTTCCCTTTTCCTTTCCTGTGCTTTCTGCTTCATGCAGTATAGCATTTCCTGCGCTTTCCTTTCCAACTTCATGCAGTACAGCATCAGTGGTGAGATTTGCAGAGTTGAAGCCTACTGTATGCATTGATTGGCATTGCGCCATCTGTGGTTCTGACATAAAGCCCCCACACACAAATAAAAGATTACAAAATGGCGAAATCTTGGACCATAAATGCGGTAGTTTTCCAGGGTTTTGGGACTTGTAGATGGCGCAACAGTGTGTTGCCCCCTTGGAGTTCGAAGCTGAAGCAACAAAAAAAGACAAGCCATCAATTCTCACCCCGGAGTAACTCACTCTCATCTGCCCGCAAAACAGCAAGCGCAACTAACCAACCACTCAATGGCACTGCCAAGGCTCAACTTGGCCATCATATTCAACAAACCTGAGGAAGCAGTGCCAGCCAGCCAGCCAGCAGGCTGCTCCGAGGCAATTGCTAGTGTTTCGCCTCCCAGTCTCCCCTCCAACGCTGACGTTACGGCTATGGTCCTCCCACTTCCACAATGGCGACTGTCTGCACTTCTATGCACGTCAAGAAGCTGGTGACGGTTCCATCACCTCCGCCACAGACCACCACTTTGCATTCACAGTCATCCATCACCTCAAGGGGTTAAAGGTCGACAGCTCAATCCATAGCTGAGTCTGGAGTCTCAGGATGCGTTCTCCCATATCAAGAAGAGGAGAAAAGCCTTCCCCAGCTCAAAAGAAAACAAGACAGATAGAGTCATACGCCATTCATCCCACTGAGTCATCTTCCGTCACCCCAGACGGCCCCAGACTCTAGACCTTCCGCAAAGCGTGCTCGGCATCTTCCTCGCTGCAGCACGCAAAGGTTCGAGCGGGGCCCACGATGCCCTGGAGCTTGCTCTCGACTTTCTTGTTCACTCCTTTGGCATTTCCTGAGTCCAACACCAGACTTCAAAACAAGAGACCACAATAGGTTTACATATGTGTTTTCTTTAATATGCTTTTTACCTGTTGCAACAAACACCAGACCTCAAACCACGAGTGGTCTTTTGCAAAGCCACGGTCCGGTCCGGTCTATTCTGATCTCTCCTGATCCGATCCGTCAATTGGCTCGAGGCCAAGCAGCTGTTGAGTATCAACGCCACAGATCGTTGCTGGATACTTGAAAGAGCCTGGATACGGGGATTTGGCTGCAAAGCAGGCATTCATATCATTCATGTTCATGAGCTACTCCAAACCTGCACCCAGAGAGCAAAAAGGAGTTGAACGGTTGGATCTTTCTACGCCTTGGTCGATGAAAAAAATTGCACCCTCAGACTTCCAAGCACCCTGACACCCGTACTCCACCGGGGTCGCTCTCGCGCGGTGTGGTCACCCGCGACGGCCTCGTCGAAGTTCACTTCGCAGCTGTCCTTCGCCGGCCATGTGTTCGTCTCGTAGCGTCGCACGCGGGTCGCCTGGGCGCGTGTGAGGCGCTTCAGACGGCCTGGCTGGAGCTTGGTCCCCGTGTCCATGGCTCTCCTGGGGTCAACCGCCTGTGGAGTCCCACAAGACCTACATCGATCAGATGTGCGAGATCCAAATCACCCATCTTTTTGCAGGCGATAGATACTATAGAAAGAAACAGTTTGTGATCTTCTCGGAGTTTGACGCCCAAGTTGACAACACCGGATCATGCAGAACAAACCTCCTAGCAGCTAGGGCGAGTTGACCCTCAAACCTCTCAAAGACGTCCCGCCGTGTCCCACTGGTCCCCCTGCTGCGCATCCGGTGTCGGCTTCGTCACACGCGCGCCTTGCGCTTCCACTTCCTGCGGCCCTTGGCCAGCATCACCAGGCCCAAGCAACGTTCAGGGAGCCTCCACCGGCGCGTTGACGCGCTAAGACCCACGCCACCAAGAGGAAAGGCTCACTGGACCAGGATCGGTTTTTCATGGCCCTCTCGGGGCGCAACTGGGTCGCCATTTCGGACCACATTGGAAGTGGATGGCGTGGCCCCCTGGATGACCATGGTTTCAAACAGGCGGTGAACTCGACTTCCATTATTCTTTCGGGGAGTGTATGTCTTTGGATCCATCGCTGCATGGCAGGCCTGGAGGGGGCACGACATAGAGAAGCTGCCTCTCCTGTGCAACAAGAAGTAAGTTCAGCACACGCGATTGCGCACGCATGCCAGGCTCTTCAAGGCAAAGAACAGGCCCAGTTACATAGGCAAGTCTGGCAAAAAGACTCATTTTTTGGCACGAAGGCGCTCAACACCAAGCTCTCTTGCCTGAGGGGCATCCAAACATTTCTCCGCCCAACGCATCCCCGCCCCCAAGAGATCTGGCGCTCAATGTTGTGCTCCTCTCCATGTGGTGCGGCTCCCCGCTCCGCTCAAGTCCTACCGCAGCGGGAAATCCGATAGCGGGACGTCAACATTGAGAACTTGAACTTGTATCGCTCTGGCCTCAAATAGATGTGGCCCTAGGGCATTTTGAGGAATTGTTTCTAAGGAGGTTGGGGTGTACAAAAGCAAACGGTCTTTTCCACCTGCTCAGCTTGAGCCAAACCATTTGGTTGGCGAGTTCATCAACAGCTCGAATCGAAGTGCTCGATCGAAAAGCGAAAATGCTCGTGAGGTGCATGGTTTCTCTCCCACACTCCCCCTGCAGTGCGTCACTGCATATTCCATGGCCAAAAGACCTTTTCGGTCAGCCTTTCAGTTTGCAAGAAGCTCATAGCTTCCATCAGAATCCCACTCTTCATTCACAGGCATGGGACCCTGGCTACCTCGGGTGGGCATGGTGCCCTCACTTCCAGCAGCGGGCGTGGAGCCCTCACTTGGTCGTCCAGCGCCGGCAGGGCGCGAGCTCCGAGCCACAGGCATTTGAATGCCCATCCATCGAGCCGTCGCTTCATCCGGCAAGTTGGGATGCCGGGCAAGCAGCAATCCTTCGGAGTGGAGCGAGAGGATCCAATCCGACGGTTCTTCTTCAAGAGGAACCTGCATGTTGGCTGGTGCAGGCCTCTCTCCTCGATTCTCCTGTCCCCTCATTCGGCCAAGGTAGCCGAGAGTGAGAGGTGCTTCCATGGCATCCGTGCCGCGAGTCGATGCCGTCATCGTCGAGGACAAGGTGCTTGATGGTGTCCCTGTTGAACCATCTGTTGAGCCTCTTCGAACCCTCCTGATGCCTCTGAGCAGTTCATCTTCTGGTCGAACTGGTGGAGGCCCCGATGATGCGCTGACCTGCGAAGTCGAAAGTGACTGTCCAGGTGGCGTCGGCGTTGAGGAGCTTCCAGTCGTCTGGCCAGCAGGAGTTGAAGAGCTCGTCTGTGAGTCCAAAGTTGCATTCTCAGGCAGAGGAGGTTGAGGGGGGTTGTCACGAAAAAAGCTGTAGCCCACCCACTGCTCCTCTGTCGGAACCATAGGCCTGGTGTCGTTGCGCCAGTCATCCTCCACCACCGATTTCTCACCATGCAGCCATACCACAGTGACCCGACCACTGCGGATTTGAGCTGCATCGAACGGCGTCTGCCGGTGCGCGGGGTGGAAAGGTCTCTTCCTGGGTTTGACATGATGTCAAACCCACCAACCATCGCGCAGCCGCCCCCACCAATCTCGTCCTTGAGGAGGAAGTCGGAACTGTGGCCATTCACGCTGGGCCCAGCGCGCATGGCGGCAAGGCGCACACCATGTCCATGGCAGCGAGGTTCGAGCGCGGCCGCACGGGAGCCTTTTAGGCTAATGTCGCCCGCCCGCCCCCCCAGCCCAGCGGTGGGTTCATCTTCCCTCACCGATCTTGTGTTCTTTTCCCCTCCTACGGCGGTGGGTTCATTTTCCCTCACCGATCTTTTTTCGACCGAATCCCGTCCCCGTGGCGCCTCGGCCTGGAATTCCGCCGGAAGGTGTCCAATGATCTTTTTGAGGTCCTGTGCTTTCGAGGCCAGGTATGCTACAAGTGCAGTGATGGTCAAACAGCGTGCGATCTTGTGTGCTTCATGGATTGGATTCCAAACCGCCATCCCTAATATACCAGCTACAACCGCCTGGAGCCTAGAACAAACTGACTGGTGTTCATCTATCTGCCTTCGTGAGCAAATCCGATGGCAGTTCAGTGCCAGGAACATGCAACATGCGCCAACACTGCTGCTGGATGCGCTCCTTGACCACATAGGCCCTCAGCCTCAAATGCCTCGTGCGCCATGGTCCATCCGGCGCAACCAAAATCCTTAGCCCAGTTTGCGAATCACCGCAAAGGACCTGCTCTCCTCCAAGGTGGAGCTTATGGTCCTCCAACACGTTCACGATGGCCGCCGCCGACTCGCCCATCACCACTCCATCAACATAACCCATTAACTCCGATTCAGCGCTGGAGAGAGTGGCGAACGGCTGCTGCCGACTTTCCCATTGAACCGGGGCTCCATTGTAGGTGACCAGCAACCCTTGTTGACCTCTTCCACCTTGGGGACCGTGAGAAGCATCCGAAAAAACCCGAACACTGGGGAGCTTGGAGCCTCAAACACCTGTTGGGTGTAACACAGCTCATAGTCCACTGTGGAGTGCAAATACCCAAGCGTGTGAGCCCCCCATTCCAAAACTTTTCCAGGAGCTTTCGTCACCAAGCGGCCCATGATGGAAACTCCATAGCTGAGGTCAGGTCTGGTTCGCCCGCTGAGCCAGAGCAATTCACCAACGAGAGCTGGGCTTTGCGGACCTGTTCAATGGAGATGTTTTCCTCCAGTTCATCTTGTACGCCAAGGGGCAAAGGAGTTTGTCTCGACTTGATGCCTTCGTGGCGTGCAAGGAGATCACGGGTGTAAGAGGCCTGGTTCAAAATGACCTCTCCTGGGCGGCACTTGATCTCAAAGCCGCAAAACTTGAGGGACTTCTCCGAAGATGCCCATTCTGGTTCTGAGCAGCGCCAATGAGCCCGGATTCCATCAATCACTGCATGAGCGAGGGGACTTGGAGCAGCAACCAGCATGTCGTCAACGTACACTGCCAGGAAGCCTTCTGAGATGTCCTCCTCGGGGATGCCGTTGGGGCATGTTTTGATCAGCTTCCAAAGGTTGGGCTCTGGCGTAGTGACCAGTTGGTATTCTTGACCTTCAGCCTCGAAGCGCAGCTGAGGTAGTTCACGGCCACGATAATGCGACCAGTTGGCAGGAGCATCGTTCAGCCCGTACACGGCGTGAGAGATCTCCCAGAGTTCAGTTGGCGGGCAAATCCCAGCTTCAATGAGCACCTTAGGTGGGCGAGCAACCAGCAAACGTTCCTGCTCATCAGGACGTGGTGCAAGTAAAAATGCTGTTTTGATGTCAACCGTGCCGATGGACCAGGACTTTTGAGCCGCACAACGCATCAAGCAACGCAGAGTAGTCCCATCCGCTCCACCTGCATATAGTGAATACGGAGCTTGGTCCTTCGACTTCACTTCACCTGCGGAGTTGTCATGGTCTTCGTTGACCTTGGTGAGATGGTTTCCGCAGATGACCACCCGTGCTCTGAGGCGTCCATGAGGACTCTTGACCGTGGGAACAAGCATAGCTGGAGCGAGTTCCATAGTTGGAAACCTTGGATCCAGGCGCAACTTTTCCTCCGAAGTTGGTTTGATTGCCTGGGTCGACGAGATCAGCTGGTCATATTCATCACGCAAGGGAGGCTTCCATTTCTCCAGTTCCTTGCGGACCTGCTGCAATGAGACTGTGTAGGTCTGGAGCACAGTAACCGGAACCTCAGTTGAACCAGCCATTGGAGCCAGAGAAGCCATCTTGTAGTTCTGCAAGGAGGAATGCTGAAACGACAATTGATCTTCAGCACCTCGGAGCAGCATTTCAACTTCACGAAGCCAGCTGCCATGAACGCTCCCAGCGTCTTCGCCAACTGCAACTTCTTGAAGGCCTTGGCACCAGAGCTGCTTCAAAGCCCAGTGACGTTCTTGTTCAAGTTCATGCCACTGCTCTGCCTGTTGTCTTGAGCAGAACATGGGATCTTCCAGCTCCCCCGGAAGGTCAGGGTGTTGACATTGATCACTTTGATCATGACTATCGAGCATGGGACCTCCAACAACCTCCTCCGACTCCCTTTCATCCTCAAATTGAAGTGCCAAGGAGCCGCCAACGTCGTCCAAAAAGGGCAAAGGATCCTCCTCGGCAAGCAGCAAGAGCTGGGTCAGACTTATCATACAAAGCCCCCACGGCTCCAGCAAGAGGATGGTTTCCCCACAATGCGGTGCTTGATTGATGGCACCTCCTGCAAATCCATGATCGCCTGGTCAGCCACCGGCGAAGGTTCCAAAGCCGTCCGCACATGAAGCAGCTGCCCCTTCTTGTCGCGGGCAATCCAGCCATGTGACATGTATGGGCATGGTCCCAAGAGCTGCATGGTGCGGTAGGGCATTGAGAGTTGTCCAGCACGACGCCATCGTTTGGACTTGACCAAAACTGAAGCTCCATAGCGAAGCATTGGTGGGCTCGGCAGGCCCAATCTTTCAAGTTGTAGGCGGACACGGCCTTCTGCAGCATGTCGTAGGGCTGTCGGCCAGAGGGATTGAGGTAGTCCAGAATCATGTAGAAGGAGTCGAGTCCGACGTTTGATCTGGTTCACTTCTCCCTCGATGCGGCCGTTGGCCTTTGAGTCATCGCCTGCAGTCAAAGTCAATCGAAGTTGACGTTGTTCACACCATTTTTGAATTGGGACTGAGGCAAACGATCGTTCTCGATCTGTGTGGAGGCGGTACACTTGGATGCCCAGCATGCGATACTTTGCATGTAGTCGTGAAAGGGCACGGACCAAAGACTCCACAGTTCTATCTGGGATCACCTCAGCGAACGTGATGTTTTGGTGTCCAGGAGCTTCTTGGGCCTCTTCAATCTGGGCCAACTCATTGAGCCTCTGAACTTCATCATCAGGGAGCATTTCACGCTCCTCGCGATCACAGGGCAGGTCCTCGGTGTACTTGACGTCGTCTGCAGTGTCATAGGGCTCGGCAACCTCGCCTGGAAGCTCTGAAACGATGGGCACAGCAACAGTGGAGATCAGTGCATACTTACAGGTCACTCCAGCGCCAAGGTCACGACCAGCAGGGAAGGGTCCACATAGGTCCGCTGACATAGTGAACTTCGTTGCACTCCCCCCAAGTCTTTTGTGCGGTTTATCACAGCCCATCGCTTCACCGCAGATTCGGCAGTCAGCACGAAAGGGAATGTGCCCCTGTTTGATGTGCCGGTGCCAGGCTGCAAGGTCCATTTTGGACATGTTGTGAGTGTCACCATTTCGACTTTCCTCCTCCAAAATGCCAAGCAACCTCCGCAGCGATTCCTTGATAGCAGCCACAAGTCCCGGCGCCCAAGCGGCCCAAGACTTTGAAGTGCGAATGCGATCTGCCAGCTTGGTGGGTAGTGGACTATCATCACAACCTTCACCCTGGAGACCATGTAATTCTTCGAAGGCGGGGAGGTTGGTCAAGACTGTAGTGGGCTTCTTCCGCTGATGGCCCAACCGTCCTTGGTCGAAAGTGACCAAACGAAGTCCTGCAATTCCAACCCAAGCCGTGATTTCAGGGAAGCACCAAAAAGAAGCGCTTCGAGCTCCTTCTTCATCGCTCAAGTATTCAGCTGGGTCACGTGGAGATTCCAGCAGCATTCCAACATCCGTGGGAGCACGACGGCATTCTTGAGCACGTAGCCAAAGACCAAGATGCTTCAGTGTCGCCGTGGGCCAAGCGCTGCTCATCATCGTCCAAATCAGGGAGGCACCAACGCTCTTCTCCTCGGCCACGTAGTCGACGAGGGCCAGGAGCCTTATTTCGAAGGCGGCTTACAGTCCTGCATGGAGGACCTCCAATGATGGCAACAATGCGGCCAAGTGATGCCAGCTTCCACAAGTAACTCGAAACTGAAGGGTTGTGGAGGTTCAGGGCTGCATTAATCTCAGTGTCGATGCACAACCATGAGTAGCGGCCTCCACCAACATCATTCCATTTCTTGGCAACCGCTCCACTGAAAAGGTGAACAATGACACCCTTCCCAGTCATGTGGGCCCGTCGCAACCTTCGATTCCAGGGCGGAGCTGTGGGTTCTTGACTTTGACCAGCCATATGCTGGAGAACTGGAAGTGGTAGTTCAGGAAAATGCTTCTGCCACCAACTTCGATCTTCATCAGAGAGAGCCACCTCCCCCTGATCCTCCATCTCAAACTGCGCCAACATGTCCAGCGCAGGCTGCCGATGCATGATGGGACATCCATTCCTCAGCCAACAGGCGATTGGGGTTGGGTGGTGGGTGCTGCATCCCGAACGTCGCCATTCCACCTTGAAGCCGCGCTCAACCAAGAGGCCCAGAGGAATGATCGGCTCAACCTCCGTCAGGGACAACAAGGTGCGATGCTTGGGGTGGCGATACAAAACTGTTGAGCCTTGTGCCAGCTCCACTTCAACCGGAAAAATTTCAGCTCGTTCTTCGGGTCGAGCAAAACGTAGGGCATGAGTGGCCCCACCATCCAAAAGGGCAAACCCCTGAGTTCCAAACTCCTGAGGGTGAGCACTGATCTGCTTGAGGCGCATCGTCTTCACGGACCGAAGCGTCTTGAGCAGCGTTGCAGCTTCCTGGATGAGGTCTGTGGCGATGTCATTCTTGGGCTTCTCGTCCAGCGTTGACTTCGCTGGTGAACCACCTCCCGAATCCTTCAATCCCCCTCCAGACACCGTCGTCGGCGACAAGGGCGATGGGCTCGAAGTCGATGTAGACCCAGGACTTCCCACTTCCACCTCCTTTTCTTTGGTTGGGCCTTCTTTTGAGCCCTCTGGTGCAACTCCTCGCAAGCGAGCTGCCTTTCTTACGTCCTTGAAGTTCTTGGGTTGTCGGTGCACACAATCCTTCGCCATGTGACCCTCCCCCGAACAGTAGCAGCTGTCGGTCCAAGCCCTCCCAGCTATGCCCATAGCCACAAGTGTCTCCTCGTTTACAGCCATGTTGGGTCCCCCAAAACTTGCATGGAGACCGAGGTTTTTCTTCTTGAGTGCCGGACTGCATCGCCTTCACCACCGGAGTCTTTTCATTGGTAGTGGTCGAGCTCGTCATGTTGGCGGCACCCTTAGGGACTGCGATGACCAGAGCTAGCTCCTCCAATTCCGCTTGCAGGTACTCGCTGAGGTCCTTGATGGAGTTCATCTCCGGGCGTTGATCAACCAACAATTCCTGACGCACAGTTGAGACTCTGTACGCAACTTGACTGCCTCCCAGCTTGGCCAGCGAGTCCATGATCTTGCCAAGGACATTCATGAGGATCAGCGGGTCTGGCAGCGTGACTTTAAGTTCTTCAGCTCGCTGCAACCATCGGCGCCATTGCCGCATTGTTGCCAAGAGCTCCGTGACGGAGTGGCCCACCTTCACCTCGGTGAGGCTCTTGAGAAGCGTTGTGCGTTCAGCTCCTCCTCCAGGTTGGAATACTACAAACAACTTGAACAGGATGCTCACAGTCGTGACGTGTCGAGAGGAGATGACATCTCTTCTCAGTTGTTCAGGCAGGGTGCCCAGCAGCAGCAATGACACTCCCCGCTGCTCCACTCTCTGGTACAAGGGGTCCACAGTGACATCTTTTGGCCGCAGGCGCAACCTCTCCAAGGGCGTGGCCACCAGCCACTGTTCATATAGTTCACGAGCGGCAGAAAGGCATCCATCCCACCAAAACTGTGAGGTAGAGGACAAATCCGCCATCAATGGATAGGCCACAGTCAGCCAATCCCCAAACTGCAGCGCCGCGCCTTCGGATGAAGGTAGTGGGAGGGCAGGAAGATCCAAAGCACCATGAAGGCCTGGGGGAGGATCTGGTCCTGACCCGGGAGGTCCACCTGCACCTGAGGGATCACCATGTGGTAGTCCAGGATGTGTTGTAGTTCCACGACCATCAACTCCACCACTGGCAACGGAGGCATACGACGATGCATCACCACCACCTGCTCCATCAGTTATGCGTTTAACTTCACGAGCGAACTTTTCCTCCGCCTCTTTGAGGATCTGGGCACGAAGTTTCTCAACATCCCCAGGTCCTGGACTTCCATTGGTAGCCCGAGCTCCAGCACTTTCCGCCATTCTCACATGACCTTCACCTCGTGCAGCTTGTTGAATTGAAGTGGTCCAGAAGGGGTTCACAGTGGCAAGGGGGCCCTGTGGTGTGCGATATGGTTCAAGCACCCTGGGTTTCACCTCCTCCCCTCCTCCCGCTCTACCTGCCTTGTGCCTGCAGGCGTGCCCATTTGTGGATCACCATGTGGAGCTCCAGGTTGATGTGGAGTTCCAGCCAAAGAACCTTGCCCACCAAAGAGTCCGCCTCCTGGTGGATGAGGTAGTCCCGAACCCGGTCCTTGAGGTAGTTCAGAACCTCGAAGAAGGGGATCTAAAAGTCCCGGAGCCGGCGAAGGTGGCACATGGTGGCCTAATGCCTGTTGCAACAACTCGAACGACTGGCGTGCTGCTTCTTGCAATCCGCCCAGACCCAAGGCGTTAGCCCGAGGATCATGCAAGGTGCTCATGAGGCCTCCAGCCCCGGCCAGCTGGCCAGCTGATGCATCGTGATGCCCTCCATGATGTCCAGGTTGAGGTGCCAAACTTCCCTCTCTTCTTCTTCCTTGAGATTCATTTCCCTCAGCCGTAGGGTGCATAGCCAGGCGCCGGACAGCAAGATCATCTTCTGCAGGTAGTGACGAGGCCCGAGCTGCTCGTTGCTCCTTGAGCAACCGGTCCAACTTTTGATCTGCTGTCTCTTCAGGCGGTGGCCTTCTTCGACCTTCCCGAGGTGCACGTCGAGGCTCCTGCGCTTCAGCGGCAGCAGCTGGCTCTCGTGAGCCCTGTCGGCGCCGGCGCTGGAGGGTGGCCATCGCGGCCAACAACCACTCTGCTCGCTCAGCAGCAGTGGGTGGACTTCGAAAACACCTAGCACCTTGGGCTCATAACCTAAGGAGGTTGGGGTGTACAAAGCAAGCGGTCTTTTCCACCTGCTCAGCTTGAGCCAAACCATTTGGTTGGCGAGTTCATCAACAGCTCGAATCGAAGTGCTCGATCGAAAAGCGAAAATGCTCGTGAGGTGCATGGTTTCTCTCCCACAGTTTCAAAGGTGGCTGGATCCTACATCCTCGCAGCAGAAATCAGAAAATCGCTGCATGTCCCCGGCAACATTATATTATAGTAATACATGTGTATATATGTGTGTGTGTACATATGTCTATACTTTGTGTGTGTGCGTGTCTGCCGCATTCTCAGCTAAGCCTTTAGCAAAAAACCCAGGGGGTCCGTCGAACTGAGCAGGACTCCATGCGAACTGGGCGCCACAAAAGCAGGACTGAGTGAAGCCATGGCCATGCAACAGCAGTGCCGTTCAGCTTCTGCTTTGAGCCCTTCTGCTTTGAGCGCATGAGGCTGAATGATGCCGACTTATTGAGCTCTCCGGGTGGGAATGGGACTTCATTGGCTGAACCCTCTACGCCAACATGGAAGTGCACCAAGACGCAGATGCTGGCTTAGCTGGCGTGGGCCAAGTGTCCCATCGAAGCCCTGGTACATCGTGAACCAACAGATCATGTCATAAACTTAACAGAAAGGAATGACTTGACCACACCCTGCAAGTCCAAGACTACTTTCCAATTGGTCCTTCAGTGACCAATTTGAAGGAATGTCCTTCACTTCGGCGGGGCGAATCTAGCCTTTGGACTTCTAGGGGCGCATAGTTGAACTTAGAGATTCCCAGTCCAAAAATTCATCAGCAAGCGCCGCAAGCGCTCGCTTGATCACCGGCCCCCTTCGGGTCGGGCACCGGCATCACGCTGGGCACGGGCACTTCGGAAAGCCCCGGGAACTCCACGGAGCGCCTCGTGTCGCGCCGCGTGTCGCGCCGCGTGTCGCGGCGCGTGTCGCGCCGCGTGTCGCGCAACCTTCATAAGCACCTACCGCAGAACACGACGACAGCAGCTCCTTTCGGCAGCTTGGTCAGAGGGAAAAGGTCGGGGCTTTCCGTTCCTTTTTGTGGGCCCCCTTCTTGGAAGAACAACCTGGGCCTCCATCTCCAACGGTCTCGTGCCCCATCTCTCCCGTCTGAGATCCATCTCTCCCGGATTCATCTCAGCTGATCCGGGAACCGAGGTGCGGAACCGTGGCAAAAGTCCGTGCGGTCCGCACCAGGAGCGGACGTTCCGCTTCCGCGGCCTCGCGGGCGAGGCGGAATCCATCGGGGCGGGCGTGGCGGGGTGATGGTTTAGTGTATGTGACGCCATGGGAAGCAAAATGGAAACAAAATGAAGCCCAGGCAAATCGGATCGGATGCAACTTGGCTCGCAGGGGCCCAGTTGCATTGAGAAGGCACGGAACCCAGTGGAAGGGAAGGGATTCATGGAGAAGGGCCTGGTCTGCTGAACATAGGCTTTCAAAATAGTAACAACCCCACATTTTGTCCAAAGGAGCTCATCTCAGAAGCATCATGACTCCTGTTCCAATCATGGTTTTTGTTCGTCTTCAACGCTTACCTGACCTTGTGACTGTCTTCCACACCACCACGCCTTCCTGAAAGGCTGCAGGGGAAGGCGTGTCCCGCGCATCACGCTGGTCGCCAACGGCCGCATGCCGCCTCACGCGGTGTCCATGCGACCCGTGGAAAGTGGGAGAACGAGAACGACAGGAACATGGCTTTGACCCGGTTGGCCAATTACTGTAACCTACTGCATTTTCTCACTTTGGTTGGATTCGCCTCGCATGCGAAGAAACACCGCTTCGTGCGCTCCATTAGTGTGCTCATCGGTGCACCACTTGAGGCAACACCCCGTCAAACATGCTTAGGCAAAAGGAAACTGTAAAAGCCACATCAAACACCCATTGCTCAAGCTATGGCTAAACCTTTCAATACAAAAAAAATCACCTCCGAAACATCTTCACAGAAGTCCGAGCTTCTTCCACAACCGAGCTTGGTCCAATTCCTCCCCCCGAGCCAAAACGGATGGGGCCCCGGACCGTCCAAGAATTCGCCGAAGATTGGCGCCGGCGCGGAGGGGCGGAAGAGTCGAAGAAACGGAATCCGGCTGCAGGAGCGACTGCGGCTCCACTTCCCGGAAGATGTGTTTTTTCGTTTTCTTTTGCGTGTTTTGCTCTTGAGCCTGGAGGCTCGTCAGTCCCTGCCCGCTGGGTCATGACACGTAGACTGTGCTGGTTTCAGCCAAAGCGATCATTGCGAAGGCAAAGGCTTGCGCGGAGTCCGAAATGTTGAACCCTCCACCTGGAAGCACTTGACCTTTTGCGGCGCGTGCCAAAAGCGAACAATTCCGTGAGGGCTAGTAAGTATATAAGAAGTATAAACACCGTCACCGGGCGGTCAGTCTGCCTGCCTTTCACCCTCACTGTCACTGGGTGAAAATAGACTATGAAGTACAGAGATTGTGGAGAAACAATGTCCCCTTTCCCTCTTGTCTTAAATCTTCCCCATAAAAGCAAGCTGCCAGAGCTCCTCCCAGCTGTTCTTCTCGGACCAGTGCCAGTTTCACTGGCTTCCCAACGGTGGCTCCCCCCCGGGCTCCATCAAGCCGCGCCAGCTTACAAGCACGGAATCCAAGTCTTCCTTCAGACCAGCCACCTCACCAGGCGGCGATGGCGAGACCCGAAGGCCATCGCCGACATCACCGGCGAACTGCGGGTGAAGCAGGTGACCCATGCGCAGGAGTGACCCATGAGTTCAGTTCAAATCCCCCCAATTCTGAAGGCAACAACCACAAGGATCATCGAAAGGACGAAGTAGTCTTGATGTTGCTACTGTTGCGGCCGCTGTCAAAAAAGACCGAGTGCGAGCGTCGCGCCTCGTGTTTGTGTTCAGCGTTCCGGTGAATGGCTTCCTCCTCCTTCTCCTCATGGCACGACACAAGCGAACACTCACATGTCCTGTCCATTTGCTGCTTCACCCAACTCAGCACACTTCACCCAGCTCAGATCGGGGGGGTTCCTATGTCATCTCCGATCTCAGTCTCGCAAAGTCCCTCCGGCTCTCTGTGTGGCTGGTGTTCCATGTGAGCCAGGTGAATCGCACAACTCCTCCAAAGCGGATTTGGGTGGCTTGTCTGGTCCTCCAGTTTCCTCATATACTCGTCGACCATTTTGATCATGGACTCGCGCGTGTCACGCCTGAACAAACGAGTCAAGAGCAGCTGTAAGGCCTGTAGGGTAAGCAAGCCGCAACCCAAATCAACAGGTCAGTAGGTTGCTAGCATGATCTAGCAGAATCTAGCATGTGACTTGAGGTTTCCTCGCGTTCTCCTTTACATGCGCAACCTTCCCACATACCACCACCAATCCACGCTCAAAATGTCTGCACCTCCCTCCCTCCTCCCCGCCCTTGGTCCGTATCGTGCCCTACCGGCCGTACGTCCACCACAATCCCTCACGCGAGCGCCGCTCGAGGGCGTCCCCATCTGGGCGAGCCCAGCTTCTCCCCATTGGTCACAGTCGAGGCCCTCCGAAGACCTTGGCATCGCCCCGACGGCGCACGGCGACGGAGTCTGCCGGCGCCGTGGAAGCGTGAAGCAAAGCGGTCACCGCGGACAAGGACGTACGGCGCAGGCAGTCACGAAAGCAGAGCAGAGCAATACAGGAGTCCATTTCATTGGTTTTACCAAACTACAATTGTTGCACTAAGGGTTTGATAATGTTTGATAAAACCAGGTCAACCGGTTTTTGTTAAATGTATATGTCGCCATGTTCTGCTCGCTTTCGGCTACGAACACGTTTCCGGGAAGGCAGTGCAGCTTGCATCAGCGCCGCAAACATCTCACCAACATGGTCCGTTTGGAGCACCTCGGCACTCCCCGGCCTGGCGGCTCGCCCCCACTGAGGTGTCCCCACTGAGTGCGTCCGCCGGCGCCTTGTTCGTCATTCCGACGGGCCCGGGCGACCCAGCAGCGCCCTGGGCGGCGGGCGACGAGGTTTGTTCGCACAGATGGGCCTTCAAAAGGCCACGCGGGTAGCATCCGGCGCACCCGGAGACAAGGAGTGTTCAGCTGCCACAACGTACCAACCATCCAAACGGGATGGAGGAATTTCGGCAACAAGTACATACTTTCTCCACCAAAGTGGTCCCAAGTCCTATCTCCAAGAAAGCGACTCACCAAAGCAAAAGGTTATCAAAACGCAAAGGCATCCAGGCTGGGCGCCGCACCACAACAGCCTTCTATGGCACTCAAACCCCACACCCGGCCGCCGCTAGGGCCTAAAATACAACGCAATAGCCTTGCGTTCCAGCTCAACTTTTTCCATTGTGCACTTCAACTTGCATCTGAACGTTCCACATCAAATGTCCTATTTCTCGTGCCCCTCACTGTCGGCCGCTGAGTAAGCTTCATACACCACAAGGAAAAGCAAGTTCGGCTCGCATGGGTTGGCCCAGGCACTGATTTGTCCAACCCAAGTGAATCCGAGGGAACCCGACGACCGGTTCGCAACAAAAACGCCACACACCGCAGCAAGCCGGAACAGCACACCGGAAAATAGCATTTTCTTTTTGAACCGATACAGTACATGTCCCGTTTTTCAGAATCGACATCCACCGATTGCCAAAACCTCACTAGGAAATTTGGAGGTGCTTTGTTTTGCGCCAACTTTTTTTGAATTCTACACCAGCATTGTCAGAGTCTCTTCAGTCACTGCGCGCACCGCGCATCGCATTCCTCAGCATGTCACCGCAAAATCATGCCGAACATTTCATTCCTTTCTTGTGTTGCTCATTTCATTGCAGCCGTGGGTTCTGGGTTGGTGACCTAAGTGGTTGCTTGGTGGAATTGCCGAGTTTCATTTTTGCTTTGTACCTCTGCTTCAACTGGTGCTGGATAGCTCCTGGCCAGAAAACAACTCTTCAAAGCATGAACTTCCAATAGGTGCCAGCAAATCGCGGCATGATGCGGCATATGCTTTTACCCAACGCGTTGCTTGGAGTGACACAAGGAAAGTTACCTATATAAATCAGATGACTGCCAAAGCTGTGCGTGCATCAGTCTCAAACATCACTTCCCCCTTCTGCTGCATGGCTCCTTTCATGGCACCTGCTTTGTGCTTGTCCACCGTTTGTACACTTTCCTGCGCAACATGAAGCCCCATGTTGGCACAATGGGTATGAACTCCAACCAGTGGAGTGATACTTTGTCATTTGTGAAATCGCACACCATAATGCAATCAAAATCCTACAATTTGGTTCGCATTCGAAAGTCCACTGCAAAAGAAACCAGGCCTCCGGTTTTTTCTTTCCGACTGACGACATGTCTTCTTTGACCTGGTGTCATCACCATTCGCTCTGGCAGGTGGGTTCGTGAAAAGGGAAGGCACCTGCCAACTGTTACTTGAATCCACACCACCCAGTTCCAAACCAACCTCACCCTCGAAACCAATTTTGCCGAACCATTTCGAGGATTGAAAACGCATTCTCAACCCCACTGCCACTGCAGCGCCTGGTCTCCGAGTCCGGCCTCGGTAGGACATGGGCCGGGTCACCCTACGCAAAACAAGCAGCCCCCGCCGCCAGGCGCGTGGTGATGAAATGGAAACACAAAAGGACCAGGGTATTGGCCATAAATGCGTCCAAAGGATCTTCCTCTCCAAACCGTGACCTGCACGTGGCCACGACAAAACATCACACAAACCACATATGAAAAACAATACAGGTTTGGACTCACCAAAATGGCATGACAAAGAACTGATGGTTAAGTTAGCCAGATGTGGTGTGTTTGTCCCACCGCATCTGCTGGTTTGGATGGAAAGTCATGGTGCCAGCGGTGTGGTTGGACATGACCATTGGGGTTCCCTTGCGCACTCGCAAGTTTAGCCCTTTTCACATTGCAGCTGCTGATGGTTTCGTAGGTGGCACGTTGCTTCGGGCGTTCGGCGGTCCACCCCAGACGCACACCGTTCCTTGTGCACCGCTCCTTGCACGCGCCGGCTTGGTGCCATATCGGCACACATGCTCATCCGCATCTCGCTCGTGGGAGAAGAGCGAAACATTCGTGAAAGCCAGGCGCTGCGCCAACTTGGAGTGATATTTTCTTCCCACCAGTGGGTGTGGGACAAAATTTGTCGTTTTTGGCGCTGTTTGGCCCGTGCCCTTCCCGGGTCTTCTTTCCCTTCGCCTCCCGTACGGACAGCCAACCTCACGGTGGTCAGACGGGTCCCTGTCAAAAGTATATCGCTCTTTGTCTGGGAGCGAGCGGGCAGCAGTTGTTTGCGATGATACGTGGGTGCGCCATCTTTCCTCCGTGTGCTTGCCCGGAGCAGTGGATGAATCCGAGCGCAGCACAGCCGGGCAATGTCCCACTTCGATTCTCCACCAGGTTCTCCGCTAAAGGTGGGTCTGTTCCTTCCCGACCTTGTTATTGGCTACCAAAACGGTAGCGCGATCCACCTGAGGCCTTTGTGCAGCCAGGAATGCGCAAAAACAAAGGGATTGGAAGCAAGGCGGCCAAATAGTCGTGATGAGCAACGCGGCAGCATTTTTCGACGAAATGACCGCCCATAAACACGCAGAAGTGCCAATCGCGATCTGAACACCACCCTGTTTGGGAACAGTCCCTCACAAGGACGTCGGCAACTGATGCAACCGCCCCATGCACACGGCCACCCCCGTGCGTGCACACGGTGCCGGAGCGAGGGGCTAGCCGCTCTGTAGTCGCCGGATTCGTCGCACTGCTCGCAACAGTATCTGTGTGTGTGTGTGCGCCAAACACTGCCTCCACGGGCTTTCAACTGTTTAACAACAGCAGCAAGAGGGGCACCGGATGCCTGAATGTGTACCTGCATGTGGGCTCTGGAACCTACGCAAGGACAAAACTGTCTAACTCGGCGTTTTGCAGTAGAGTTCCGACGCACTCGTCTAATGGAGGAAAGTAAGGGATGAATGCACTCTGCATCACCTTTGTTAAAAGGACCCTTCTTTTGACCCATCGTCATTCCGTTACGCGAATCACGGTCTGCTGCCGTAAACTAAAGCGCTAGTGCCGCGGTGCACCAGTTTCTGATTGAATGCTCGACTCATCGAACTCTCTATCGAAGTGTGCATGTGCGTGTGTGTGTGTGTGTAAGCCGCTATCACGAGCGGACGTTTAATGAAAAGTTGCATGTCCTTCACATGACAACCGAGTATGAAGCGTTCAACTAGCTAGGGGCACCGGGGGTGCTGACGAAACCGGCGCTGACAAAAACGCTCATCAGTTACCTGTTCAAGAGCCGCTCAGGAGGTTCTGGGTTTTGACACCTTTCCACCGCTCTACCGCCAAAAAACTGTTATTTTACTTGAATGATTTGTTTGACATGTGTATTGAAAAGTTGCACAGCGAGCACTCATTTTCCACTCAGGATCCAAGGGGGCAAAATCAAGCAAAGCCATGTATGATGGACTTGACACACCGTCTAATACGTGTCATACTCACAGCATGACACGCCCAAAAGGTCTGACCCTTTTAGGTTTCAACGGCATACTCACAGCATGACACGCCCAAAAGTTTCAACGGCATCACATCCATAAGGCGGAGCCTCTATGTTTCAACGGCATCATTCATCATACGCCAGACAGGGGAAAACGAAATTCGGAGCCCTGCAGGCATGACAGGTACGGCTGTGATTAAATCTAGCATTGATGCCCTCCTCATGGACTGGGGAGTGCAAGTAGCTAAATCGCCTAACATGAACCGGATACAGCAATGCCGACCGTTGGCTGCCGTCCAATGCCTGAAGCATCAACTTTGTGGTACGCACTTCCACCATTGATCAACTTCCAGGAACTGTTTTCAACGAAGTTTTATGCTCATTTTGTCCTAGTCGGCTTGGTTTTCTCACTACTCGACAAAAACAGCAATGTTTTTGACTTGAATTTTGATGCCTTTAGGGTTGCAACGGCTACACTTGTTGCTTCAATTTTTCCTACCGCTTTTCCTGGACTGAACAACGCCTGCTGATGTGGTTGCGGGCCCATTGGTTTCTGACACATTTGACATAATTTCCGTTTTTACATACTAAACGTCGACATTTCGCAGCACTTGCACAACTGTATGGGTTCCTGTTTCATTTGGGACCTGATTCCACGATGAGTTGTAGAACAGTTCGGTTCTTACGCAGTTTCTCTGTGGACACTGCACTGCATTCATCTTTCTACTGACTGAACACATTGTTGTTTTTGCTGGAGAAATTTTTCCCGATATTGCCATTGCATTGTTTCAAGCACACACAGTGGTGAGGAACTCGCTCCCACGTTTTCAATGTTCCTCCATCATTTTGAGCGTTGGCTACAACGTGGGAATTTTTGTTCGTTCTGGATTCCGTACGGGCAACAATTCGTGCAAGGGACTTGGAAACAAAACCGTAGGAACACCACGAGCGTGACCCAGATTCAGGCCCTAAAACAGGCCTACAAAATGATGAAGCCCTTCGTGATTTCACCTGCTGCTCATTTCCGGGTCGCATTTTGACATCCTGCTCGTGCCATTGGCACAACTTGCTGCTACGTCCTTTTCAGGAATCCCACGCCTTTCGGCCGGGCACACACAATTGCCTGATCACAAGAAATATCCTTGGGCCCTTGGGCCATTGCAAAGCATAAACAATTGCCTACCCGAGACTTTCAGAAAACCCGTCCCATCTTCGATTCTAGCCACAGTTGGGCATCCCCTTTGGGCAACACATTGGCCATTGTTTTGCTAGAAATGGCTAAGGTTGTGTTTCTTGTTTTTCGCTTGATTCAGCAGATATTCGGACCATCCTTGGCGACAAAACACGTGTTGACACAGGTCCTACGTTGCAGCAACAAAACATTGTGGGTTTTTATTAATCAAGTTGCACATCCCCCTGATTATTTCCAGCGTTCAGTTTTTTTCCGATCTCCATCGCCAGTTGACAGGC